CCCCCAAAACCCCAAAACCCCAAAACCCCAATTTAGTTTTCCTTTTTAAGAAGATTTAATTCAAATATAAATATTTATTATAAATGTCGATTTATAATGGGTTCCGGACAAGAGCTCTGGAGGATAACTATCTACAATGCTTTTTTAAATTGTGTGAACTGGTCCAGTTCAGACTAGTATGATTTTATACAAGAGGATTTGAAAGCCAAAATACAGGACCTGAAGAAATGGACGATCAAGTAATATTTGCAAAGTAAGTGTCTCACTAGAGCTAAATACTCTGGTGGAGTGAAGCAGATTTGAAAATTTTAGGATTCTAAGATATCTGAGGAGGATGAACAAGTTGGAAAGCAAATAAATACTTACCACCAAAGTTCTCAAAAGCCTTTGTAGATTTATGGGGCTATATCGACTCAAGGAATGTTGAAATTAGTAATTCAGAAATCAGCACAACTAGTAATTTTGAAAATTAATGTTTAGAAAATACCTTCAGAAATTTAACCAGGTCTGAATTATGTAAGTTCCCTTCTAAATTTTGAAGTGAGGGCCAATCTTTTTCATTCTAAGTACCAATACCTAATTGCTAAAACAAATATTAGTAGGCTGTAGATAATTCCTAAAATAGCTTCCTATCTGTTGGCTTTAATAAAAATCTCCCAAAAGTTCTTGTATTTCCAGAACCCATGACTAAAATATCTATTTTTATCATTTTGGGGCCTCTTAAGTTATTTGGCTTTGCCTGTTTTCAAACAATTCAGGCTAATTTAAAGAATAACTCTTATAAACTAGCTTAGGACAAAACAGTGGTGGGTTATTCAGCCAAGATAATCTTTGCGATTATGACCTGGGTTTAAGCTGACTCTAATAAGTGCTAATATGATTATAGTTCATAAAAATGCAAGATTTGGTAAATAAAGAGCTGAGCTCTCACAAGATCAAACAATCATTTGACTCGAGTTGTTCTAATAACAGGAATTCTGAGACTTTGCCAAACGGGGATCATTACTTAGGTACTGAAATTCTGATTTTATAGCATCCTCATCTCCTATGCATTTGTCGTATGATGACCAGAAGAACACAATTGATAGAGCACCCCATACCAGTTTAATGGAGAGTATTCAGGAAAATACTCGTTATAAGAGGTAAGTTTTAATCCTAAGATTTCTAGTAAGAGAAACTTTAAGCGTTCAAAAGTCAATAAGCCAACTAAGATTAGGTAAATTGCTAGATCTTAACTTCAGGCTTGGGTCTAATATCCTCATGAAAGCAAGCTGTGATACAAGTTCGGGGCAAATTCCAGTCCAGAACAACATTGTGATGCCGATAATGAACTGTTACTCTCAGTGACAGTACAATATCAATATTTCAAAGTAAGTTTTGCTGGTCATCTGTACAGGCAAAGAGGAGCTTCTAAATCCCAACTCAGCGGAGGAATGAATGTAGTAGAGCAAGTGGTCAGAAAAAGCATGGAATCTGCAGAGATACAAAACAGTAAGGATCCTGCTTTTATAAGCCTAAATCTTGAATTGTTTGAGATAAGTTTTGATATAGGAGCTAATAAGAGAAGAGGAGAAACTGCATCTGGAATGAGAAAATACAAGACAAAGTCAAAGGAAAAATATGACAAAGGCGATGAAACTGAATATGGAAGTGATAGTAGATCCAATCTCAGAGAGAATAAAGGTTATAGCAAGTATGAATATCCATCTCATATTTAGGGTTAAAGTCAAAGAGAAAAGAGGTCCTCTGACAATCTCTAATGCCAGTGTTCGGTATAAGAGTAAGGTCTATCTAAAATTTGCTCTAAAAATATCTAGCTCGACAAAGTATTCCTATTAAGAAAGATCCTGTTAAGAAATCAGTCCATTACAAGATGCTTAGAAATGAGATTAGAAAGTCAAATGATTTCGGTAATTTTTAGTGATGAATATACAGAGATTAAACCGTTACTTAATCCTGAGCAAGCAAAGAAGAAGAATTGGAAGATGCAATTGTAAGAATCTACCAAATAACTCTCTAGAATACGCGACATTGAGTCTAAACCATCTAGCAGTAGGCGATACCTTTAAATATAGGACCTGGATTCTTAAGAAATGACCCAAAATTTATTAACATCAATAGGAATTACAACTACAAACATAAGATAAATGTGAAGAACAAAAGGACTCCTAGTAGTGAGGAGCTGGACAATAGTAGTTCTTTTGAATGACATTTTTAGCCATAGAAACCCAATATAGCCCTAAGAGTTTGTACCATTAACAGATTAGCACCATCTTAGAAGTAACACAGAAAATATCGTCCTCAAAATAAGTAATACTTCAATAAGATTACAAGGAATTGGGGTTTTGGGGTTTTGGGGTTTTGGGGGATTTGGGAGGAG